CAAAAAATTTGAACTATTTAGTGTGTAGTCGTTGGGAAAATGGTTATTATAACTATATAAACAAACAGAATATAAAAAAAAACACGCAGAAAACGAGATAAATTATCTGGCAGCTGATTCGCACGTCGAGGGGTGAAACGAGCGAGCGTGTAAGATCGTGAGCGAGCGAGAGAATGAATGAGTGAGCGCGCAAGAGCGACAGTAAAATTGTTTTGTAGCTGAATGTCGAGGTAAGGTAGAAAAATGAAGAAAAGAAACGAATATCAGACAGAACAAATAAACGAAAGATTGCAAATTAGAATGTGTGCGCGTGAGTGATTGATTCGTAATTGGATGTCAGTGCCATGTAAGTTTCAGATTGTCATCTAGCGAGAGAATTTTAATTGAGAATATATCTGGTTACTAACTGCTGCCAGTTTACTACTATTATTACCTATTATTATCTTCATGATTATTACGGTTTATGATTATTCTATATTATGTTTATTAATTTACTTAAATGAAAATTCTGCGAAAATATGAAGCTCGTTTTACGTAAAGGCAGAACTCTTGGTGCGGTCAGTCGGTCCAGGACGTCTTCTTAGGAGTTTTGGTTTGTTCGAGAAATTTTATACATTACTGTTTCGTTTATATATATCAAAAAGTAAAAAATAGGGAATGTTGCTTAGGTAATGGCTGACGTTGATGGGTGATCACAATCTTAGGTTAATAATTAGTCTAATAATTATTAAGTATATTAGTCTATTGATTCATAAATAATGCAATGAAGTATAAGTAGTACTGTGTGTTTATGTCCAATTTCACGTGAATATAACCAGCAATTATTACTCATTAAATATGTTTCAACCTATATTGCAAATAATTATTTACACTACGGCCGCCAATCTGGGATTTGTAAATTAAACCCCTCTTTAACGTATTTCTTCGATTTCTCTTAGAACATAAATGAATTGTTAATGGTTGAAGTCGATTAGTTTATACTCGTTTTCTTTATTTTTGCTTGTTTTACGAGTTTTGTAGGGTAGCTGCGCGAGGTATTCCGGTGCTGCACAGCAGCGCATAATGTAAGAATAAATGATTAATAAAATGTCTAGAGAGGCCGGGCATTATATGAACGACGAAAGAAGAGAACTATTAAAGTTTGTAAAGTGTGAACGTATACTAAAACCGTGCGCGAAGGATATTACACTGATAAATTTTATAATCCACGTACATACTTCTATTTTTCTTCTCCGCGCTTAAAACTCGTGCCGAATTTTACTTTCCATTTTTCGCCCGTAAATACTTATACATGTTTGTAAAGTTATAGCATACACGAAAAGGTGCTATAGCTGTCCAGCTTTATCATATTCCTGTAAAACAAGATGAATGAAGACGATAAAACTGCGCAAACTGCGCCTTACGTATAGGTCAGTTCCTTGAGAGCTTCATGAGTGAGTTGAGTTTGGATCTTTAACGAAAAGAATATTAAAAAAAAAATACTGTGCGACTTTGCAATTTCACGTAAAACAAAGTAGCAATGTTTTTCCTATTTTTTTTCTTTGTGTTATTTTGGGACAAAGCGCTTAATCTAAATTGTGCTGCCGTGCTTTTATTTTTTGTTTTGTAATTAGTGGACTTGTATAAATATTATCCGCCTAAAAAAAAATTGTTTTTGCGTCGCATCGAAAAATGTACATCAAATATCTTATTTTCGATAAATATATGAAGCGTTCTGTTAAATGTGTAATCGTAAGGTCTATCAAGTTTTTTATGTGTTTCTTCAGCTTCGAGTAAGCGAATGCTCTGCATTAGTTATCCCGTATTAAGTTACCAAATATATACTTCACGTGTCGCCGCCGAAAGTACTCCAGCCGCGAACGATTTTCTCCTTGGACACGTCAGCGTCGCAGCTGAAAGTTTCCAGAAAATTTTTGCGACTTAACGATACCTAGAAATTAAGGCAATCGAAAAAGACTACACTTTCGGTATAATCATCAATGGATAATTCGGGCACGATTTCTCCGCGATCTTTACGGGACGACTTATATGCGCCGACTTCACATAGACAATATATACATATATATACATACACATATATATATATATATACATATATTTTATCTTGTATCAAGATATTATTGTTGTCGATGAATCTGTTCTTTTTTCCTTTTTGGCGCACCTTTTTAAGAACGCTGATGAGAGAAATCAGAATCGTGTATAGAAAAAAAAACGCACACCACGTTAACACGTTAACACATTTACATTTACACGTACACATTACATACACACATTACATACACAGACACCGATTATCAGTAATATCGACGGAATGGTTGCCTTCAGGCCTTCATCCTATTTTAGGCATAGCATATTTTTCTAACGTGTATCGCAATATCGGAATAATCTTGCCTAGCGAGAGCGATAGAATGACCGAGAGGAAGAGAAAGAGGAAGAGAGTGATTGAGAAGGAATGCATATATGAAGAGTAGAGATGTCTGGGAGAATGAGGCAGAGGAATGCGTGCGGAAACATAAATGATTTATAGGAGAGGCGAGAGAAAGAGAGAGATTGAGAGAAAAAAAAGAGAGCGAGAGAGAGAGGAAAAAAAAGTTTATCAGCGATGATCGTACTTGGCTGACTATATAAGGACGTAACACGATGCTTGTAATTATTACGATTGATATTAGTACGTTTAAGCTATTAAAAAAGTAACATCAACTTTAATATATATTATATGATTACAATTACCATCCTCTTTGAAATGCTTTAGACATTTAGGTTTCACGTACGTAAAGAAAGTTAGTGTGCTACGCTTTTTCCCTCTTTCCCTCCTTCTTATTCCTCAACCACGTCTCGTCCTCTTTCTTCCCAGGCCCTTACGGACCCTTTTGACAGTTCTTGAAACGTTTATAATTATAGCGGACTATATTTATGTATATTTAAAAACAAAATATATATAAATGCATCGCCCCTAAACGAAAGCCGGAAATCGTTTTTTGTGTGTTCTCGACTACTTTATATAGGGTTCTTTAATTAGCACCTCATCGAATTATATTGTAGCCATAATGTACAAAGAAACAAAAGAGAGAAGAGATGAGGTAACGTCTCCCGAACGTATTTAAACGAGGTGCGACCTTATTTTCTCTGTAATGAAAATTTTTGCTGCAATAAACGGTTTATCTTTTATCACGTTGGATACCCGATGCCATCTTGACCGAAATTTGTACTGTTATAACGATGCCTTTAAAAAATTTAATAAACGTGAGTCGTATTATTTTTTTATGTTTTTTATACATTCTGTGTATAATACAACATCCTGACTTTAACAATTTTATTATATGATACATTATTAAAAAGTTGTGCTATTAATGCGTCAGTTTATCGAAAAATATAAGTTTAAATAATAATAAACAGAATAGAAGCATATTTCTAAAATAGATATTTTACAATTATTAAAAGAAAAAAGTGCCATAATGAGAAGGAAATGAAACGTGGAAAGGAGCAAACGCGCTACTCCACATTAATAAAAATGTGTTGTGGGAAATTAAATATTCAAAGAAAATTAATATTTTTATCTTCTTTTTTTGTTAGAACTTGTTCTATATGTAAAATTACGTAAAATCGATTCTCGTAAACACCTCTTTGATTGTATTTACAATTACTGTATGAAAATCAACACCCGCGGTGAACAGAAAAAATTTAAAGTAAAATAGATAAATACGGCATTATATGATAATGATTGTATATTTCAATAGGAAAAATGTGAGCATGGAATGGGCTTTTAAGCTTTGATGAATGTAAATACGTTTCTTTTTTTTACTCATAAAATTCGGATGAAGCATTCTCTATCAAAAACCGAGATATTTTAATGAATTTATATAACGATATAACGCGTGTAACGTAATTATTATAGACATTCAGCGTAAACCGCCATTTTATTTTGCAAGCTTAGCATCGCGATTGATCGAAGCATCGTGTTTTCATCATGTAAATCAGTATTTCATGATCTTAAAGGCATATTCGAAAGACACGACCGATTGCATGAAAACGCAGTAATATGAAATATTTAGCAGTGTTCAGCAGGCCAATCATATTAAAGAACTTTACAACAATTGCAAAGCTGCTTTTCCGCAACCATTCACGTTACATACCATAACTGGCATACCCATTGGGCCTGTTTTTTATTCCTGCAATTAGAACTTTTTTCTCACTTTTTTCACAAAAACGATAAAAGAGATTTATTATTCCATTTCCGAGAGCTTCTTGAATTTATATTGCATACGAAAATATAGGTAATATATTAATTAACACATATTACAGTATTTCATGCGCGATAATTTGACCAATTACAGTCGAATCCGAGAAGAATAAGCGACTGTATTCGCCCATTTCTTATGGCTTAAGGCTTAAAACGGGTGGCACCCAGTTGGACACGGCTCAATTGGACACGAACCACTCACAGCGCTTGAGACTACAAAGCTCCTAAGCACCGGTCGCTGTGATTGGTGGTGTCCAATCGAGCCGTGGTCAATCGGGATCACCCCCTTAAAACGCTATTGTAGATCCGGACTTACAGTCTCTATTGTGATTGGTCGATTCGCTTACTGCTTAAGTCTGGAAACACAATAGGCACAGGCAACAGAGCTTGGGGTATAAGTTCGATATTATATCCCAGAGCTCTGATTAGACGGCTCGTTATTCCCTGTTGCCTGTGCCTATTGCTTGTGTCTATTGTGTTTCCAGCTTTACGCCATCAGTTTTTTTTATGTGCCATGGCCTTTAAGCTGGATTTTCATCTGACGCTAGACGCTCATTTTCAGCGTCAAAACAGGTCACGTGATCAAAATTGACGAATACCAAGCATCAATTTTGATCACGTGACCTATTTTGACGCTGAAAACGCGTCAATTGACTCCCATGAAAAAGCATCTTTAGGCGTTGTGCAAAAGTCTGTACTGCGGCCTAAACACGGTTAACGTCTGTGTCCTAGCTAGACTAGCTGGAAAACGGCCATTGTTATAGTCGTTGCGTCTGTTGTAAGTTGTAACGCTTTTGAAGTAGAGAGGAAAATACGAATATTTTTAACGAAAATTACAGTTTACATAAACTTAAAATTAAGAAAAGCGTCCACGACGTTATTTATCTTTATACATACAAGATACAAGTCACGATGTCGATCGGAGTTCCAATTAAAGTGCTCCACGAAGCTGAGGGGCACATCATAACCTGCGAGACGAATACCGGCGAAGTGTATCGCGGCAAATTGATAGAAGCCGAGGACAATATGAACTGCCAAATGCAGAACATTACAGTGACTTATCGGGATGGCCAAGTGGGACAGCTGGAGAATGTATACATTCGCGGCTCAAAAATTCGATTTCTCATATTACCAGATATGTTGAAGAACGCACCCATGTTCAAACGACCCGGTGGCAAAGGATCCGGCACAGCCGGTAGAGGAAAGTCGGCAATATTACGAGCTCAAGGTTTGTGTATTCCTGCAAACATTGTTCAAATTAACCCTTGAACATCATATTTTATATCTTTAGACGTTACACATGGGTTATTCATGTCAGACTTAATTTTAAGGCTCTTAAAGTGCTCGAAAAATTCTGTAAAAATTCACACATATTCTTTAAGATCTTTACTAAATTATTTTGCTATGCAAACATTGGAAAAAATGTTTAGAAAAATTATGAAAATTACTTTTCGCCCAAATTGACTTTCCTGCATATAATAGCGCTGCCATATTGGAATAGTCAATCAAAAGTTAAGGTGACCCTACATGACTAATAATATCAGTAAAATTGAATCGGTAATATTGATAGTATCCATCATTTTTATTAATATTTTCAGTATTTTTACAATCTTACATGATCATTATTATTGATAATATGTTTCTCTTCAATTTTATGTACATTATTTATTGCATTCTGACATACTGTGACATGGATCTTAATAAAGCAAGACTGATGCTCGAGAATCGAAATTCAGATCACCTTCAGTATTCTATGTTAATCCATCAATATTGTACACATAATCAATAATATTGTTAGTATTTGTTAATGATGGCAGTTTTATTGACCATGCAGAATCACTTTCGTACTACATTCTGAAAAACATGGATATTTGTAAAAGAAAGCAAAGGAGACTAATGTTTGTTTCCACCAATGCAGATTAATTTTAATTGTTTCTCTTCATCTTTTTATAATTTTTAAAACTAGAAGAAAATGAAGAATAAATTGAATCGAGATTATAGTTACTTTATATTAGTAGAAACTTGGGTCGTATTCTGATATATGCTGAAAATCTGTAGTATACATGAAGCCCATTTTACAATTGTGTGAAGTCTGTGTCAGAGATTGAGATTGGATTAATCAATCAAAAGAAAGAGAACTCAATTTTTAGTCCGATAAACATAATATTTATTAATTCTTCCAACTACAGCTACTTACAACTATACTTACACAATTGTAGAATGGACTTAACATGGATTATGGATTTTTAGTACGGACAATATATAACAAGCTCTAGGACTTACAAAGAAAAGCGAATAGAAATAAAATTTTAATATCTGTTTTAAAAGCGAATTACATTGGAATAATTAAATAGAAAGTAATTAAGTTATATTATTCATTCACTTAGGAAGCAATATTAATAATTTCATATATAATATTTAGTAATACAGGATATTTAATAATATACATAAAATAAATATTTCTTGCTATCAGTGAAAAATATTTTTTATATTTTTCACTGGTAGATTCTTTCGAGCCTCATTTTATATATTTATTTCTTGTTAGTTTAAATCCTCTTTAAGATAAGATTTGTATACATTACACTTATACACAAATGACAATTCTATGTAATAAAATGTTTTCAGCTCGTGGCAGAGGAAGAGGACAAAATCAAAGAGGCAAAGGTACTGGTTCGGCACCTTGGCTGAATCAACAGAATCAACCAGGTGGACCTCAACCTGGAAGAGGCAGGGGATAAATCTTATGATAATAAACTTTATTTTGATTGTAAATACAAGTGTAAATTTTCATTCCTTTTTACATCATTTCTAAACAGTATATTTCTGCATTCAAAATTGTAATCTATATTTTTAATGTGTGTGTGTGTGTGAGATTAATAATAAATCTAGTATTGCAGCATTACGTGTTTGCTGTGTTTATAATTAAGAAGTTTCTCCTTTGAAGCTAAAATAGAACTAGATAATCCTAATTCATTGTCTGCCTTAAAATGACTAAGAAGACATATTTTTAAATTTATGACTGACTTTATGACAAAATTTAATTTATTATCCAAATATACATAGATATGGAAATACTCCACTTAGAGTATTGCAATATTCTAAATAAATAATATTTAAATATTCGATTTATACCTATAAAAATTCTAAAAAGATTTCTAAATTTTATCGTAACAGTTCGAGAGATCAAAATGGGTATTTGTCAAATAAAATGTGGGAAATTAATTTTTATTATAGAAAAAGATAAAACCAAATTCATTATATTGTATGTTGTCAGCAAATATAAATAAAAACACAAAAATAAGTAAAATAATAAAGTCAAATTCAAATATGCCGCGATAATATGGCGGCATATGGTGTCACGTTCTCATTTGCTATTAAAAATGTGTGCGTAAGACCACACCCGATTGCACTTACTTGCATTTGCAGTTCGTGATCGTAAGGTCACGCGTTTTTTTCCACATAACCAATCTCTAGTAGTCTAGTGTACGATATAACCTATCGTAAATATAATTACAATTATGTTCAAAAATTCTCAACCACAATTACTTAATGTAAATAGAAAACCGAGCCAACCGAAAAGGCGAAAAAAGATCACGCTTGTCTTCGATGAGGAGAAACGACGGTAAATATTGTGCAAAATCACATGTAATTGACATGTACTTACATATAGTTGATACAAATTAATTTATATTCCAAAAAATGTAGAGAATTTTTAGGAGGATTTCGTAAGAGGAAGCTAGAACGAAAAAGGAAGGCTCAGGAACAGTTACAGCAACAACTGAAAGAGGAACGAAAGAAAATTAAACAAGAAGTGAGTCACATATTATTTTAAACTAACAAGGTATTTCGTAAAGAATTGGAGAAAGCATGATATTTCTTTTTAGGCACGAGAACGTTATAAGAAATCATTATCGAATCAAGTTGTTCCAGAGCTGCAAGAATTGTTATCTCAACAAGAATTGGATTTAGGTAGTCATACAGTTAGTATTTTAGAGTTGAACGTTGCAGACCTTAAAGAAGGAAAAAAATGGATAGGTGAAAACAAAATTGTAGAAGAAAAAGAGCAGGAAAATGACAAAAGTGACAAAAGTTGTAATGACGACGACGATGATGATGAGATTGTGGGAATGTCGTTGCAAGAGAAATGTAAGAATAGAGTACAGCCAAAATCTAAATCTAACAGTTATAAGATAAAATCCGCAAAAGAATTAAAACAAGAAATAAAGAAAGCAGCGCTGAAACGCGTAAAAAATAGTAAGGCATTTCAACAAAAGCAAAGACTAGAACAACAAAAAAACAAAAAACAAAAACAAAAATTGCAGAAAGCACAGGAGCTAGTGTACAAACGTGGCAAGAGGAGTAAAAAGAAATCTAGACACTAGGAAATTTGATAAATTTACTGCACAAATTTTAAATAAATATATTTTGTAAAAAGTATTACATTATAAACATGCATTTATCACTTCTTTGTTCTTTCACCTTTTGAAGCAAATGGACAAATATTCTTATTGAGACATTCTGAACATTTAGGAAATCGAGGTAAACAAGTTTCTTGACCGAATCCTACGAGGAGATGATTTACTTCGCTCCACAAAGGCTTAGGAAGCCAATCCTCCAACTCATTTCTCGTCTGCTCTGGTGTTTTGGTCGATTTTTTCACCCATCCTAATCTATTGGCTATTCTATGAACATGTGTATCTACCCCGATACCAGATACTTCGCCCCAGGCAGTTCTCATGCATAGGTGAGCCATTTTAGGACCTACTCCTGGCAACTCGCACAACTCTTTTACTGTTTTTGGTATGTCACCTTCATATTTATCTAGAAGGATCACTGACGTCTTTTTTATATACTCTACCTTTTTCTAAAAGAAAAAAAAACATTTTTAATAGGAATAGGTAAACTTAACAGGAAATTCATAAAAAATATGTATAATTACAAATAACTTAACAGTTTAACATATAAACAAAAATTAAAAATTACTAAGAAGAAAATAAATCTTGCAAATGGATAATAAATGAATTTATAAACGTGACAAGAAGTTTAAGATAAAAAAAATATCTTGTAAATAAATAAGCATATATATTGATCTTTACTTTCCAAAATCCAACTGGATATATAAGTTTGCCTAGAACATCATCAGGGGTAGCTGCTATAATATTTGGTTTACAACCATAAGTGTTCAGACGCTGCATAGCAGCATGGGTGACTTGGTCCTTTGTTTGACTACTCAGCATCAAAGCTACTAGCGATTGATATCTAGATACTACGGGACTGGCGTCAGGATCTGTACACTTGTGACAGCCCATTGTGTCAACTGGAGCTGTCTCGCTCTTTCTCATTTCTTTAATATTTTCAAGAATAGTTTCCCAATTCGGTGGCATCCACTGTTTCTCATCTTTAACGTTCTTTGGGCCCAATTTGAATTCCACATTCTCATTCTTTATCTCATATTCTTCAGTTTTGATATCTTTTATGTTTGCCGACACCTCTACATCTTCACTTTTTATTGGCGTTTCTTTGACGTTTGTATCGTTCTCCACCACTTCATCCTCGATCTTAATCGGTATATGTCTCTTTAAGCTGGTCCTTTGTGCCAATCTTTTCTCTTCGCCGCCGAAGTAGGGTGACGTCTTCTCCGAGGAGTCCGCGTTAACGAGGATTTTGCCCGAACGTAAAGTTCTTGATGCCGAGAGACCAGTCAGCTTTAACCGTTTACTCATTTTGTCAAACGAAACACGTCACGGTGTCAACGCATCGATATTGATTCCTGCGAGTAACAAGCAGAGTGTTTGTACCTGAACTACGCAGTACGCCATTCGAAATTGGCATAACCATTCCCGCTCGTGCAGCTCGTATAATTGGACAGTTAAAGTTAAGGTTAGTTTAGAATGAAAACATCTGTGTAGTTTTCTGCACTATTCTGCACTTAAAATGAGATAGACGCACAATAGACGTTAGAAAGAAAAAGAGAGAATTAAAAGTGCGGAGGGAATGGATGGATGGATCAGAATGGATGAAGAAAGTTATTTCGCATTCTTCCAATTGCAGAATTAAAGTATATCCTGCTTATTGTATTTACTTGCAACCAACGAAAATCGATTCATTACGAAACATTCCTGCAATATTGTAGAAATATCACTGTTGCGAAACAAAACGTCAACATAACCAAACAAAGGCAAACCAATTTAACATCAACTTTGAGGTTTGTAATATGTGATATTTAATGTATATTGAATTCATCATTTAAAAAAACATGATAAATTTGTAAAATGAATAATTGTAGCCAAGAAGCCTCGCTGTTTTTGAAATGGATACCTCAAATAATTTTACTCTACGCGGTGGTGATGCAGCATTCGCCAACAGGCAGCAGGCATTATTCGATCAGCTCTTGATTGCGGAAAGTAAGTGCAATAAACATGATAAACTGGAGACGGACAATATGGAAATGGTCGAACGAAGGAAAAGGCCAGCCCCAAGTGACGACCGGAGGCAGAAGAGGGAAACAAAGAGGTTTAGCGGTAAGGAGAGTATCTTCAAGCGTCCAGAAGGTCCGGCGCCACGCACGAATTTCAGAAATATTCCGGACTATCATAGAAATCCACACAAATGGGTCAAGTATTCTCTGGATGACGTATCCAGCGAAGACATGACGGAGCACAGTAACACACAGGCTGCTATGTCATTCCTGCGAGAATTAAAGGCTCGTAGGAAGAAAGAGGAAATTGACGAATGTGGAGAGGAGATGGACGTTGAGACTTGCGAATCAAATTCTACAGAGACGCGATTTAAGAAAAGGTCATCGTCGTCTCAGATCACATTTAAAAAGCCACGAACGAGAGAGACAATGGAAGATATTGCAGAGCCCGACGACAAGCCTATATTCAGAAGTAGTAAGATCATTTTGCCAGAATACGTGATCGGACAGAAACCAAAGAAGACATGTAAACAGAATCGACCAGTGATTAAAGTCGATCGCTCGAAAGAACTTAAACTAGATCATTTACGAGAACCAGATGAAGAGGAAGATGATTGAAACGAATGTACAGTACATAAAATTGTATAAATGCAAATATAGAGAAACTGTAATTGTGGATATTCGCTTGAAAATAAAACAATTCACAAGCATTTATATAGGTCCTCGTACTAATTACATAGAAAATTAGATTCTGGTGAAATTAATTAATTTTTACGTATATATAACTTATAACATAATGAACAGAACATGTTATTGACACAAGGCTCAATAATGGATAGTTTTTGAAATGTATCAAGGGTGTAAAATTCTGTAAGTACCTTTTATATATAACTTAAAAACTATTCATTATTGAGTCTTGTGTTTATAGGGCTATTCTTTTTAGCTAAATCTCTTACATGATTTATCCTTCCTCTTTTTTTTTATGGAGAGAAGAAAGAGAAAATTGTAAATTATGCAAGAAGTTTAGTTAAAAAGAATAGACTAATGTGTCTATTTCTAACAATGTAAGTTAACTTTAATCTTGATTGAACTTTATTTTTTCTAATTCTTAGAACTAGAACAAGACGACAGATAAGTTGAACCAAAATTAATGTTAATCTACGTTGGCAGAAATAAGCATTAATAATATCTTTTGTCAACCACATAGACTGCATTATATGTGAAAATTAATTCAATTAATCAGGATCCAATTTTTTATATAATTAGTGTGAGGTCCTTTATAAACATGTATAAACACTAGTTGAAAGCAGTACACATTAATATTGTATCCATACAATATGTAGTATAAAAATAAAAAATCATATACCACATGCAAGTAAACAATAAAATTCCCTCAATAAGATGAAGTATATATGTAATTAAAAAAGCATACAACTATCTTAAATTTTATTTTTAAGATACCTAAGTATCTAATTTATCTAGACTCTATGTAATATAAAAAAGAGAGAATAAATATAATTAACAAATACATTAATATTGTTGTTTTGTGATACAATATTTTTTATCATTTCCTATCATTTTCATTAAAACATAAATGATCAAATAACTTCTACATTAAACATAAGTGAAATTGCTTTCTATGTTACACATGTTCTATTGTGAGTGCAAAAGGTGTAACAACCTTGTGTTCCACACTAAAGCAGCTGCAAAATAGACTACTCCAACCCCAACACTCAACTTGCTCCAACTCTGAAATCCGAATGCATGTCGTGTGACGTTAGGTTAGGTGTACTCGCTCGCCGCGGAGTTCGCGGGATTGTTCGCCGGTAGGACTGGCAGGAGTCGCAGAAAAGATTGAGAGGATCGAGGAGATGATGTTAGCCAAGACGTCTACCTAAGCTACGTCGAGACCTCGGTAAGTGCCGTTGCGAAATCGCATAGTAATCGTCTGGACGGCGCGGTACATTTTCGCCGGCGAGGAGGGGATAGGAGCCATAACCTGTACGCGTACCTGCGATTTCGATTTTCAAAATGGCGTGCCAAGTGTGAGAGGCAAGGCATGGACTCGTCACTCGCCGTCGTCGTCGCGACATCCGGTGTTACTCTGTTGTTGATTGCTCAGTCGCGAGCACGTGTACGGTGCCGCTCGCGTTAAGTTGCCCTCGTGGAGGAGTAGTTATGCCATCGATCGCGCGCACGGCGTAGGACGTAGGGATAATCACTTCTTCCATACATTTTTCTTTTTCTTCTTTTTTCCCTTTCTTTTTTTTTCGTTTTCGCTCCTTGATGGAAATCCCGATGGAAATCTTCCTAACGGCATTCTCCGTGGTATTCAGTTTATTAATAGTGTTCCTCCTTGTTGTGATAGGTAAGCACTCGTATCAGGGCGCTGATGATCATGACATCTTGACATAATTACATCATCAGGAGAAAAAAACACGCGGATTCGACAGCATGAGTTTCTCGTTTTTTTTTTGTGCTCAGTGCAGATTTGCGTATTAGTACTGTAAATACGATCGTATATAGACACATAATTGTGTTCTAGTATTTTCTAAATTTAGCGCGACACTCATATAGAGCTCATGTTTTATATGTAACGCTATTAGTGATAAGCATATTGTTTTGCATTATGTCATGCTTTACATACACATTTACATTTAGTAGATAGTAAAGAGCTTGCTATAATATACTTGAGCACTACATTGTAGAATTTTATATATAATATATAGATTAGTGCATACTAAAAGCTATGCTATGAAATTAGCATGAAATTAGCAAAGTTGAATGCAAAGTTAAATACACAAATATAAATATTTTAAATTGATATTTTAATGTTAACAATATTTAACAGATTATACATATATTATTTCATTGTCAAAGTTAATTATATTATGCTAGAGCATTTAGATACTTTATATAAAACAGCTTTATATATATAATATGCACTAATTTATTATAGAGAATGACTGAATCCATCATTAATCTGAATTATAAAATACTGAATTATGATGTACTTTAAGCATTAAATTATAGAATTTTATATATATACATATAAAATTTATAATTTGAGCTAAGAATTTGAAACACATGATTAAAATAGCTTCAAGCGCTTATATTATTAAGATGCTGTTAAATTGAATAAGAGATAAATGTAAATATATTTCAAGTTCTTAATCTGAATTACAAAACTTACTCAACATCATGCATGCTTCATTATTATTTTATTTTTATATAATTGCATATCATATAATATTTATACTATGATTTCTTTTCCAGGTTGGTACTTAGTTTGGACGTTCTTCCTATCACGGTTCCGCTTTGTGAGAGAGTTAACAGGGAATGGAATGAGTGAATCGTCGTCGGTTAACGATTTGAGGAATGGTCGCGCACGCATAAAGAAACTTCGTCGTGACTAAATATTGGACAATATATTGAAGTTATCGTTTATAATACCGATAATACCAACGCAACGGTTTTGTGTAAAGTAAAATTAATCTTGGATACCTCGTGACAGAATATATATATCCGACTAAAATGTCTGTAAATATACGTTGTGCTACTACAGAAGACCTGCTGAATATACAGCATTGTAATTTGCAATGCTTACCTGAGAATTATCAGATGAAATATTATTTATACCATGCTCTGTCTTGGCCGCAACTGAGTTACGTAGCAGAGGATGAGAAGGGAAGAATAGTGGGATACGTGCTTGCCAAGATGGAAGAAGACTGTGAGGACAATCCCCACGGGCATATTACCAGTCTCGCTGTAAAGCGCTCCCACAGAAGACTAGGTATCGCGCAAAAGTTGATGAATCAGGCCTCTCGGGCGATGGTGGAGTGCTTCGGAGCAAAATACGTTTCATTGCATGTGCGCAGAAGTAATCGTGCAGCTCTCAACTTGTACACAAGCAGCTTGCAGTTCGAAGTATCGGAAGTAGAGCCAAAATATTATGCGGACGGCGAAGATGCTTATGCTATGAAACGAGATCTCACCAGCTTCCATCACGAGAAGGCTCTTAGAGATAGAGCGCACAAGGAGGGCAATGTTCATACACATTTAGGTAGATGTTGTGGCGATCACTCTTAGTCCATTCATCACAGCTACTGACGAAATTGGATTGATTCATCAAAGTTTGACCTGGTACACTAGTAAAAATGTTTTATATGTGACTGAAGGATGAAAGTTGTTAAAGTTTGCACGATGGAGTAAGATTGGACTTTGGGGCTGTTTTTCAGTTTATGCAATGCGCAATGTAATTAAGACTTATAAAGATATAAAAAATAAAGGATTCTGGGCAATCTAATTTAATCTTGATTTTTTTCATTATAACTTTATTGAATGACTGAAACTGTAATTCACATATAACACGCCATTATGCAAAATTAATTGTTCAGGGCGTTGTCAAGCGTGTTGTTAAAAAGTATGGTAGAAAAAAATAATATTTTACAGCACTGAAATGGGCTCAATTTATACAGTTCCTACTTACACTTTAAAATCGGATCTATATTTATCTCGATAGATATTTTCTTCTTCAAATACTTTGTCATTTTCAGTGTATTTTGGCTTAAAAATTATTTTTGACATTGCACAATATTCGAATAAGTTTACTCCACTAATGCATCTCGGATGTACCATTATGCTTGTGTATACATACTCCATTTCTGTAATAGGAATAATTATATTATATGTGTGTGGTGTGTGTATATATATATATATGTATAAATATATTTATGTACAAATAAGATGTCCTTAAAGTAACAGTTATTCAGTTTGTAACATATCTCAAGTTTATAAACAGCACAAAGGAGTCCTATGATAAAACGCATGATTTGTCAATTTTGCGTGATTATATCGAAAACATGATTAAAGTACTAAAGCGTCATCAAGAGATAAACAATTTTTGTATAATCGACGTTTCTTTAAAGACATCACGCGTGCTACATCAAGAGATTTCGTTTCTAACTTCTTCTCTGATCTTGGAATAGCTGCCCTCGGATAAGTAACTCGTAAGTTTACAGTAATACCGTTACATATATATTTACGAGTGACCGCGAGGATGATACCCAACTATCGCGAAAAGATCATCCAGGTACAAAAGGGAAATTAGGGAAATGACGAGTTGTTGTTCGTGATAATGTCTATAACGTCGTTCGCGCGCGCGCGTGCGTGTGTCAGGGTTTACAATAAAAAAAGAAACCATTCCACTTAAATGTTATAACATGATATCTGAATACGGTGATTCAACGCGGATAAGCACCTATCGATTCGACTATCATATAAACTTCTAAATATACAAGTTATTTTTATCTACCTATCTATATATATATATATATATATAACTGCCTGACATATGTACTATATTACAAAAACACTTCCTCAATAAATTATAATACAAGTCTCATAAACGAGGTTCGTGTATAAACGCTTCTCCATGCGCGATATGCTTGAATATCTAGTCTCTAAAAAAATAAAATGTAAGATAAATGTCATAAAGTGTCCTGAAAGGATCGTTTCAGGATATTCTTTAAACATTTGCATTGTTATACACAACAGTAAATCACATTAATCAATCAAAATAAGATAAAAAAGAATTCGGAGGAGAGATAAAACCTCCAAATAAATGGGAGAATTCTTATAAATGTTCGTTATCGGTAAAGCTGCAACAAAACAACTGGTCACATTTTAATACACGGTTAGTAACATGCGTAATCGCATTCATAATCACAATTATATCTCCGTTATTTAAACGAGGCGCGGTAAAACTCTAATACAAAGTTGGATGGTTTCGCATGCGTTGAGCGAATATTATAGTCGGTGAGCTATTTTTAAGTACACTTTCGCACGTGGAGAATGCCATTAGAACAGTGCGCCGCAAATTAGCAGTTGGATCGTATACATACTTTTGGCCTCAACAGACGTGAATTTAAAGATAATCCAGCTGATCTTTTCAGATTTTAACGTGATATTGTTTGGTTTAGCCTCGGTTTAGTTTTAGTCCTTAGATCCATTTTAATGTAAAAAACAGAGAGAGTTTCAATGATTAAATAGTTAAAATTTCATAATTGATTCACTTGAAAGTTATGGAAATGCAAAAAATAATCTAGGAGATAAAACAAAAATTCTGAATGCGATATTCTTTAAACATTTGCATTGTCAATCTGTCACAGGACCTGCTATAGATCTAATAAAAACATCCGTTCGTTCGCTTTATCAAAAAGGCGTTATTGGTCTCGTTGTGCAAAAAGATTCGCGAGTACGCGTAGTTGCCGTGGAAATTTTTGCGCGTTAACAAATTCGATCCGCCGCTGATTGCGGTTCACAATGTGCGCACGTGACTAATTCATTGTTATGGAAGAGCCTGGTAAAAAGGCCTGGGCATCCGAAAAAGTCGTAACCCGGCGGTAAAAGCTTTGTATAAAATTCGTTAAAAATTGTCTTCCAAAAAAACTGTCCGCAATAAGTAATAATTTACCTTTACGGGATGTCCCAAAAAGGTACTGCCTGCAGAGCAATCTGCGTTGAATTTTCTTGGTGTCAATTTTTTGATATACGATCGAGTTACAAAAACAGAAACACGATTGTTCCTCAATTCGACATTGGTATTCATATCGGTCTTTTGCCTTTAAGTAAAAGCAGCGAGGATTCTTCACTACAGGAAAACGCTTCAAACCCGTCATTAAACTTGCTAGTCATCGATTTCAGCAATATCAGTTAATTGTAATTGCAATTTAAGTTATTTCTTTTTATTTTTATTCTTTTGAAAAGAACAAGGAATTCGCGAAAGTAAAATTACGGGTAACTGATATCGGTGAAACCTGTTCTCTAAAAGAGAGATATGAATACAAGCTGTCTATTCGCGTGTATAATGTTCTATTGTATACATACATCTATAAAACTACTAACACGTTTAGCTGCATATGTCGTGGGCGTATATCCGAAATGGACTTTACGACGTGGTAAAATAACAGTGTTTACCAGATCGCAAATTCGCGAGTCATTTCGGAAATGCTTTATTCAAGTCAGAAAGCTATTGGCCTCGTTATATTCCGTTTCACATCACACGTCTACCTGAACGTCTAATTAAACGGTTACATATATTTCCTATGAAAGATTATAATGCTTAATATTATTTTCGAGTACATTACAAAGACACTCGTTCCAGGGTTGTGGTTTTCTTCGTTTCTTACGATCTATATACCGGAGCTTTGGCAGTAGCAGGTTCCTATTTTAGGCCACGGATTTTCTTTATAATGAAATAGGATAATAGCTGCACGAGACGCACTAAAGTGTGCGAATATCCGGACATGTTTTTTCACTTTCGTGAAGCGTATATGGATCATGTTTGATTATTTCGCCATTTAATATCGAAAGTACTGTTGGGATTCTAAGTGTTCTTTTTGCACTAGTGCTCATTTAAAAAAAAATAACAGACTTATTCGATACTATTGTATTTCTACTTGTAAGTGGCTGAATATCAAAAGTCAGCCACCAATAATTCTCTCAGATAACGCTTGAAAGACCACATCCATGAGAAATTCCTGAGATACTTTTGATCCACTTTCGTATAAGAAAGAATGTTCTATTTAATCAATGTGCTGAAGATTTTTAGCAACATTCGTTTAAAAATCTCGACAAAGAAAGAAAAAAATACAGCGAATGAGACTCGACATGATCCCACAAGCGTTATCTTCGAATTATCAACGCGATCGGTATATCATTTCTAATCGCGAGATAAATTCAAAAACGCGTTACGCGTTTGAATCTTCCACAGTCTCAAAGTTTCTCCGTTAACGAGGAAGAATCTACCGTGGACCGCGTCTCAACTGAAGGAACTTGTGGTTTCGTGACCGCATCGTGACAATTCTCCTCAGGGTTGTTGAGCAGCGTGTATCATAGCGACCTTGAGATCCTTGGCCAAGTGCGAGACGTCGACGACGCTGTCGACCATCTCCTGGACCGCTGTAACGCTCGGGAAGAATTGAGCGGCTTGCTTCGTCTTCTGCACCGTCTGCCCGAGCGCTTCGTTCAGAGCGTTCGCGCATTGTAGCACGCGCGTTCGCACATCGTTGCGTGTCACATTTCGGTGCACCGTGTCGCCGATGTGCACTAGTCGGTGCGCACTCAGCACGACGAACTTGCCGTGAGCTAGGAAAACCTATAAAATTTCAATGCATGTTTCAAACAAATCCTTCCTATAGTTTATATCAACAGTAAATAAAAAAGATTATAAATTATTTGAAGAATGAATGATTTGAATATGATGAATAGGTATTTAAATTTGTGCGGATGAAATATTGATGGAAGATTTATAAAAATCAAGATAATGTTTGAACAAAAAATTATCAACAAAAAATATTTTAAGGTTTCAAATATTATTTTCTAATTTTATCGTTTTGTTCCTGATTTTACGATGTATACTTTACTAACTTATCTTTAACCGCGATGCCGGTTGCGTGCAATGCACTTGTGAAGGAAAAGAGGTCATCGTGAAAAAGTAATGGAAACATGCAGTTGACGTGAGCTAACTTAAGGCACCCTGTCACACAATAGTGCACTGCCGATATCTACGAGTCTATCGTTCTTATCGAGACTGTTGACCCATATGCACATATATTTAAGTTCCGTAATAAAAAAGCATAACGCTCAAGCCAAATGAAAAAATGGAAGAAAATGTTTACTGAATCTCTGGAACGATTGCAATAGATCTTAATCTCAACTTTTCTTATTGAGTAAAGACAAAATGACATTAAGCATTGTTCCATCGATTAACAAACGTCTCAATGTATGAAATAATTTCTGAGAAAAGTATCTTCAAATAGACAAACGACCGTAAAAAATTCAAATCTTAATTTTTATCGCGACGAAAATGACACCGATTGTTATTTCAAATAATGCTCAAGGTCTATGTATTTCGCGTGAAGGAGCGCGACGGGTGGTATACCAGTATTACAAGAATTGTTACAATTCTACTCGCCTTGGGTGGTTGATTATGCTCCACCGTTTGCAGAAAGGCGTCGATGGCGTGAGTCAGGTGTGCGCCGTGCGTGATAACCTGGGCGACGTAGAAGGCCAACAATTGCTTGTCGTTGGGATCCATGGGCGTCGGGGTCGTGGGTGGCATCTGAATCGCGGCATTGTCCGCCTCGGACACCAGCAGATCGTAGTTGCTGCGGAGCTCCTGCGGCAGCGCAGCTCGCAATTCTTCTCGTTGCTTCGCTACAACCTCTCGTGAGTCGAGATTTACGTAGTCATAATCCTCTCCGGCGCCACTATTGTTGCTGCTGCCCGTGGAGATGATCGACGCTCGCTTGAAGAGCAACGTGGAATTTCCCTGCACAGACAGAGCCTCTTTATCAGCAACAAAGGCTCATTGCTCAAATGTCATCAGCTTCATTCGCATAACTAACATTTAAAAAATCCAAAATTAAAAAAGTTTTTTTTAATTAATTTTTTACTAAATTAGAAATAAAAAATTAAATTATGAGCATTAAATATTTTGTGTCTTTTATCTTTTCTATCCATTTTAATTCTTACAAAAGAAATCGAAAATTTAAAAAATGGATTCTTTATTTTCTTTTTATTTTCGAAATATAATTACACAAAATATATCAATAAAAAATACATAAATAGATAGTAGAAAAAATGAAAGAAATTTTAAGATTTTTTCTCTTCAGGAATATTGTTATGATTGCTCACGTTTCCGTAAAATCGGAAATTGTTATTTGTAACAAATATATTAAATCCTACGGCTATAAAAGATACTTACTTGAATGAAACTAGCAACCTGACGAACGTCTTCCGTGAGTGCTCGAGCGCACGCGATCAGCTGATCAAGGGGATCTGACTGCACAGGTAGGAGTAGTGAGGACGGAGGTCCATTAGTAGGTGTCGGTGTATCACCACCGCCACGACAGAGTTTACTCGCGTCCCATTCCATCGTGTCCAATTCAGTAGCGGCTTCCTGTACGAGCTTGTCAGAATCACGAAGCGCCTTCACTAGCGGCCGTAATTTCGTGGCCAGGCCCTTATCTGGCGCTTTACCTGCATTGCCCAGCGTACCTACGCACAGAACACAATCTCTTTCAAATTTCAACAAAACTATTCTGTGTTTCAGTATTTATCGAAAAATAGGATTGTTGTGCAGTGAATTTAAAGAGTTGCAAATCTAAATATAAGAATATATTAAGCCCACTCTGAACAATCTATATACAATTAGTGTCGAGATCAAAATAGAATTTTAATATTTTATTTCATTAAAATAACGAAAGTAATTTTCACGATACCTTCAATTGCATTTAAAATCATCAAGATATTAAATTAAGATGTTAAATTGAACTCTGTAGTTACTTACCTTCCGCGAATTCGGCGAGATCATGAAGAGACGTTCTAAGCCTGAGAGCAGCTAGCCTTAGGTCCATAAGAGTGGCATCCAATCGCTGTGGTGTTCTCCAACCGGGGCTTACGAAGCCCAGTAGCCTCGCTATCGCAGCAGATGCCTCGCTTTGCAACCTTTGCAAACCTTCCAGAGCGGAGTCCAACTCCAATGGAAGCTCCTTGCTAACTGGTACATCGTAAATCTGTTGCGATGGTGGCGGTGGTGTCGGGGTCTTCGGTATGGGGGTATTGTGTCGGGACGGTAACGAGGACGCTGGAAGACGCGGTCGGGGTACATCGTAATCTGGAGCGGCCAAACTCGATCTGGAATCCAAGAATCGTTATGCACGCGGGAAAACGAGAAGCAAAATTTCAGATTGGAAACTTTTCAAATTTATGGCTGATGACATTGCCAAAATCCTAGTGGTGGAAGGAGACACAATTTTGAATTTCTGAGGCATTTCAGACACAGCTCGCAATACTCTTTAAATCATCCTTTGCAGGATTCTTGAAACTCTGTTCAGTTCCTGATTTATTTCACGCGAGGAACTTCTAGGACGCGTAAAGTTTCGAGATTCTCGGGATTTCTGGACCTCCAAGAACGTACGTCCAATGGAGTTACCATAATGTTGTAACCGGGGAATTTCCTGAGCTCGAATAGCGTGACGCATCGTGGAAATGCGAACGGATGTACCTGTTCGATCCACTGAGGGAGCCGTCGTTGGTGAGGCTGGAGGCCGAGCTGCTGGGCGTGAGGGGCTGCAATGGTCGCGGCACGTCGTAACAATCCAGCGGTGTAATGCCGGAACCGCCGGAGCAATTTGAGTTGGGTGTGCAGGATGTCGGCGGCCTTGGGATATCATAGCACGACGGAGCCGGACTTGGGCTGCTCGCCGGCGAGGGGATCACCGGGATCGCGCGTGGTGGTACGTCGTAACACTCGTTCACGTCGCCGCCCCCATTGTCGACAGAACTTCGTACATTGTTGCTCGTATATCGTCCTGCGCAGGTAGAAGTTAACAAGATTTAAAGGAATCCTCGGATCAACTTCTGAGTACTGAACGGGCAGGGAAGCCATTTCACACAGACGCTTACGGTATGCTATGTTATAGAAGAGATAGGCTGGCAAGCGGCGGGTGGATGATAAATGAGATAATTCCAGCATAAAATATTTTTCGTATATATGTATATGATGAATTTGATTTGCTCTAAATAAGAACGTTCCAAAATAGACATAAACACAATTATATATTTTTACGTATATTTGTAAAAATAAAGGAGAAAATTCATAATTCTGAATTATTCTGTATATTGAAATCTAATAATATTCGAAGTTGAGAAAATGTTGAGAATCAGAAAAAGATAAACAGTAAGTTAAACCGAGATTAAATCTCTCATCGGTGGGAATTAAACCGACTCTAATTTAAAAAATGAGTGACTTTTTATTAACTATTTCAGAAACTAACAATGACATGAAGTTAATCAATATCTGAGTCATTAAATAAGTATTAGCAGACGGTTTTCACCATCACCATTTGGCTATAGGCGGAATGTTTAGTTTGCGAATAATACGTACCCGTATTGTGCGAATGCTCATTGTTCGTCGAGTTGAGGGGTGACTCGTGTCTGGAGGGTGGCGCGGGACTTCCCCGACTTGCTGGGAGGTCGTACAGGTAGACGTCCCCACACTTCTGCGGCGTCACAACCTGCATAATCGAAAACAGCAAAGCAATTAATTTTATCCAGATTAATTACCAGAGTTCTACGTTTTGTGTTTCCACCATCTGTGCCTGTTCGCAGTTGAACATTTTTCGTTGTGTTTTACTCATTCTATTCCGCAACAATTAACTGCAAATTTAATTTTAATCAAAATTACTCAAACGCGTGAAAGACTAAATTAGCACATCCATTCTAATAATTCTCGAAATTAAATTACGACTCTAATATGTATAAAATTAACACGTCGTCATTACATTTCTGATAATTTATATATATATATATATAGAAAAATATATATATGTGTATATTAACAAATATTAATTCGTAATGTATAGTCATATACATATATCTATATATCAATACATAACTGTACATACATATTATATATGTATATATACATATTATACATGTATGTGTATGAATTAAAAAAATTAATACTAATATTTATTATATAATAGATATTACTTATACATATTGTTTAACCCTACATTACTCGCGAGGGATTTTCGATTACAATATTACATTATATCCAATGTTACATCTCAATTTTCATTACTTTTTTGTACGAAAATTTACAATTAAATAAAGGTTAATAATATTCAATATATTCTTTAGGTAAAGATAAATATAAAATCTTTTTTCCATTCTAAAACAATTTGCGCTAAATATAATAATGTGTATAAATAGCATTTATATATTTAGCAAATTTATATTTTATAAGACTGGGATAAGTATATTTTAGACATCCATTTTCAGAAATATAAATTGCATAATCTTTACCAATATATCACATACAATATTAAATTTATTTTTAAAACCACGTGTCCTTTTTCGAGCTATCGCATTCTCGCTTAAGTAAATGTAGCCATTTCATTATATGCGATAGACATAAATGTTATCGTGTGGCAGCGTTAAGATTTTCTAAAACTCTTCGACAATCAACTTGAAAAAAGAGGAGAGATAATATCCCGGAGGCTGATTCGATAGACGCCACAGAAGCTAAATCCACGTGAACTTCGCTCGTGACGAAACTCGTAACGAAGTTATTTGCGCGAACGCCAATCAGCTCTGTTACTCTTTCCACTATAAGCGATGTGACCTCGAGGATCTCGTTTGAGTGCAGCCCGCCGCAGCCACGGATTAATTCTACGAGATCGGTAATTGAGTTTCCTACGAGGATCGAGGAGAACTCGAGGGGGAAAAAAGGGAATTTCCCTATCGGCAAAATTGCTGAAGCGCCGTCCTTTCGATGAAAAACACGCCATAAGGTTCGCGATTTATTCTGCACAAGATAACATATTGTACGAAACGTTTCATAACAAATAACTCGATAAAAGGTACGATATTTTTCGTAAAAAAACATTATATACAGTCTCGGATAAAGTAATATTTCTTGCAATAATAGTTCTTCGAGTCAACGATTAAATTTAATTTGTCAGATTATTATTATTATTATTTCAGAGTAAATGTATTTTAATCAGGGTTGGTAAAAAACATGTTTTAAACGTGTTTTAAACAGTTTAAAACATGCTTAATTGATGTTTTTAATATGTTTTAAATATGTTTTTTTTATAGTACTGTTTAAAGCATATTTGAAGCATTCAACCCTGAATTTTTAATTACATATAAAATTGTTATTCTAATTTTGATCCTAGTTGACACTTGACGCTTCTTTTTACCAACTTATTGTTAGTAGGATTATATGATTTTTATCGTGTCCAAATTTAATTAAATACTATTTTTCTTTGTAATTTAATACTGGAAAAATATATAATAAATGTATAATTATAAAAATTATAAGTATATGATATTGTAGCATAAAGAGACTTTTTAAAATATTTTAAAATTAATATTTAAATTAAAATTTTATTAAAATAAAATCATTTGAGAAATAAAATTTTCTTGTCTGATAACATTTTTGAAATCTGTTAAAATAGCTTATTAAAAATGATTAAAATAATATATTTGATTAACTTCATATTACAAATTAAACCACTGCTGGACGTAACAGAGGCACAAGCTTGCACATTTCGAGCGTTGAACCGCTGTGCCGGGAAAATGTAATTCCGCTGATAAATAAAGCCGATGCGGCGGGTAAATATGGGAGAAAAAGGGGTGGTGAAACATCCCCCTCAGGAGAGTGTAATCTCGGAGGCTCATCGGCCGGTGCTTTGCAATAATAAAAGCCCTGCAATTCTTGCGTTACGCTTAAGCGTGCTACGCTTTTGTTATTACTCTTTTCTTTTTTCTTTGCACGTCGCGGTGCACGCGAACAATAGCAGTTGAGAACTTTCCCTCTTATAGAATATCGAGTCTTTTCATTTCTGTAATAAAAAATTATAAAAATTAAGAGATTGAAAGATAAAAAAATGTTTAAATACATATACAAATTTTATTTTTAAATATATTATTTTTGAAAAATATCTTAATATGTTATATTAAAAATATCGCATGTATAATATAATATTATAGATTTGCAAAAAATGATGAGGTATTAATTCCTTTCATTCAAAAGAAAACTACCATATATTTCTTGTTGCTTTTATTTCGTAAAATAATCTCAGTCACATTTTTAAAATAAGATCTGTAATATATGCAAAGGAAAGTTAGAAATATATTATAACTTATTATAACGAGAGAGAAACGTCGGACACGCCCTGCACATGAAACGGAGCAGCCTCGACCACGATGTCGTCGTAAAGCTCACGCGGTTGATCAGTAATTCGCAATTCACCATCGACGTTCAGTTTTGCGTTACCAAAGTAGAACAACCGGGACTTCTATAACTTACGGTCGAAAGTTCTTGATCGGTGAAACTTATTGCGCATTCAGGAGAACGAGAGGAGTCGCGCATGCAAGATGCGCTTCCTTCAATGTGCTCTGTCCACGGAAACGCCGAAGATACGACGGGAATCTGGGTCAGTTCTTATCGGGCAAGCAGCAAGAACCCACCCACCGAATAACACGATGCCACAACCTCGATTCCGAATCAACCCTTCCCTCCCTTCCAACAAATCATTTCGACCCCATTTGATTTGCCGATCGAGCGCGCTTGCAAGAAATCCAAAATGATTTGTTTCAATACTATCGGAATGCTTCGCTGCGAAGGCGAGATTGCATATAAATGTGAATGATGTAACTGTATAAAATTCTAAAACGATACGCTGATTAATTCTTATTGTATGTCATGAATATCGCGCGTTGTATACAAGAAGTTATTTTCCTTTCACTAATTATACGAAAGATCGTGACTTTATCTTTGTTTAAAAATCAGACTTTACGAGAATAGTTACAACGTAAAATCTTTCTGTATTTCTTCCAAAAAGTAGAGATCGTTTAAAACTTCTGATTAATTAAATTGTTCAGAGCCGTCGCTTTGGAAATTTTGGAATTATTCCAAGTTGGACAATATCCGATGTAAAAGCTTTTTCATCAAGTACGAGAAAATAGTACAAGATTAAGGAAACGGAACTGAGCTTTAATTCAAAATTTCAAAGTTCAGACATACAGATAGTCCAATGGAAATCCTTCTCCCGAAAGAACAGCACTTTGCACTAATTGTCCGCTGTGCGAACCCAAGTTCCTTCTTGCGAGTGCACACTCATCGTGAGAAGGTGGCCGTTACCTAGAACCAGGAAATGTGCTAATTATGCTATAACTCACTCTTGATTATAGCTCGCCTTCTATGCGACAAAGTTGAGATTACCCCCTCGTGATTTACGAGCGTTTTCAAGTCAAGATGAAGACTACAAACATCAGTTGTTTAAACGAGACAAATAGGAAAATTAACGTAAAAAATATAATTAGTTTATCCTTTTATTTCTTCAATCAAGAGAAGATCTTGAATGTTTCATGACTTGTTTCCACATATCTGTAGCCATTTATAGTTATAAAATTGTAAAGAGAATTCAAGAAAAATTAATTCAAGGCATTGTATTAAAAATAAAGATATAGATCTGAAAAGGATAAAATTATAATTGTATGTGATTCTGAAATATTTAGGTACGGAAGACTGAATAAGTCGGTCGTTGAAATAATTAGTATTAAAATTTATGCTCATAATAACTTAAATTGTATATGTAATAATTTTTTCTTTGTAATATTTCTCTTACAAAATTTTAAATGTATCTTCAAAAATTTTAATTAGGCTATAATATAAAAAAATATCAGGAATAAATAAAAATTGAAAAGATACAGTAATTTTTTTACCACAAGATGTTATGATCACATATGTACATACATACAACTAAAATAAAATTAAGTATGAATATAAGATAACTTTTATATTCATACCATATAAAAGAACTTTTTTAAATGGATGCATAGTTTGATAAAAGTTAAAAGCTGTCGGACGAGTTTTCAAGAATAAGTACAAAGTTACGAAATAGTTCTTAAGTTTATACCTCACTTTATATTTGAATGACATAGAAATTGGAGCTGTATTTCTGTACACGTGATTAATAACGGATTAATTAAAATTCCCCTATGTAAAATGAAGAGTAAAACGATAGATTGAGTTGAAAGAGTAGAACGGCCGTCGAACCGCACCGTCTGCTCGTCGTGAATTAAAGCTGCTCGCGAGTACGCTATCGCGTGTTCTTTGTTATTATGAATCGAATAGTACTATCGTAGTGGCGCGTAGTAGCAGAAGGGATGAAGGTGCGGGGGAGGATGCTGGAAGGTTGAGAGCGCTTGTGTGCAACGTAAGGGTGCACTAGAACTAGTAGGATGGGGTGGTGGTGGTGAAGAACAGTCCGGAGAGAGGGGGTATACACCCTCGGTCGATACCGGGCGTCGCGGTGCTAACTGTGAAAGGCGTATTACGGGGGTGCGCGAGAGAAAGCAAGGGAGAGAGAAGAAGAGGGAGAATGAGAGACAGTGACGAATTCAGAATTCTGGAGACCCTAAGGTACAAAGATATCCAAGTTTCCATGTAATTTAAATAATTTACGAATATAATTTTTGTCATTGTTGTTACAAAAAATAT